CCTCTTTCCGTCTACCTGTGCCATCATTAGAGCCTTCTCCAGAGAGCTAGTGCTTCACATAATGCATCCAAAGTAGGATAATTTGAGCCTGGTCATTTGTACCTTGAATAAGAACACTGGGTTGATTTGTTCGATGATCCCTTTGTTTTCTTGGCTGTCTATGGTATTCTCAGGAGTTTCCTCCAACACCAGATTTCAAAAGCATAATGGAGACTATCAGACTAGGACACTGCACAGTATCCTGGAGCTTGTTAAAAGAATATTTTCTGTTCAGCAGAGGAAATGTAAAATCTAAAAGGCAGCAGATTTACTAGTTGTGCAGAATGTATCTTTACCACAATGAGAGGGGAGAGGATTTTGATAATAGAAACATGCTTTTTACTGCCACAGCTAGTAGCTGCTGCACTTAGCCATCCTTCATATGAACTTTGCCACTTCCTGGTTACTTTCCTTTCTTGACTTGTGTTCTGTTGCATCTCTTATTAAACTCACATGAATCGACTGACCAGGTGCTGGACCCACACCTATCTCTTTCAGTATAAAATGGCTAATTTCCTGTACTTCCATCATGATGGTGTGGGCTTTTTTTCAGTAGTTTTATCTCTGTGGTTTTTATTCTATCAATATTTTGATTTTTTAAAAAATGATTGTGCTATTATGTTTCAGCATTTATTCTTATTGCTTTGTTTTTACCTGCATCTTCCTGACAAGTGCTGCTAAAGGACAGGAATGGGGAACCTGTTACTGAACTACGTTTCCTAACAGACTATCCCAGCATGGTATATGGTAAGTGAGGAATGCTGGGAGTTGTAGTTCAGCCAGGACAGGAGTCCAAAAGGTTCAACATCTCTGCTAAAAGCACCTAATACATTTTAGAAATGAATTCTGCAGCTACATACCCTAAACTGGTTAGTAAATAATCCACATTACACAATTTATTGAATCAGAAATTAACTGAAAAGGATGGGTTCACACTATATATGTCCACTCATTTCTCTTCTCCCTTCCATCTCCAGGTAGCCTTGTTCTTGATTGACACCGAGGGCTCAATGGATATAGAGAGAAGCATGGAAAATAGTGTCAAGCTTTCAGCTTTCTCTATGCTGCTTAGCTCCTATCAGGTGGAGTTCTAGAAATATCAACTCCTTTTTTTCCTCTAGACTGTAACAATAATATGTACTTATCACGCCTTTGTTGTGTTTCCCAATTGTCTTCTAGATTCTCAATTTGTCCCACATGCTGAAGGACCCAGACCTGGAATACTTGGAAGTGAGTTGGGCTCTGTATATTAGAAGTGAGCTCCTCATCCCAGGGAGAGATGGGAGACAATGCAACATTACCAGGCAGAGGTGGTATAAAAAGGAAGTTCTCTCAATATAGCTAAAAGAAAGGGGCATAAACTAGAGCTCAGAATTTCTGGTGCCCCTTTGATTCCCTGGGAGAAGATTAGGAGAACCCAGTTGGAAAGATCCTACACCATTTTGGCTTGGCTCAAATGCAGGAATCTGCCAGCTGTGGAACCCAAGCAGTTCAAATCAGTTTCTGCATACTACAAGTACAGAATCAGTGCCTTGCAAGAGACTGCAAGAATAGTAGGGTTATGCAATGCTTCAGATTCATTTACAGAAGATGCTGAGGAGAGTGAAGAAAGGTAAACGTAACACCTGTTTTCAACTCTTTAAAGCACCTGTATCTTTTATCAGGATATTTGGCAGCTACAGAAAAACCAAGTTATCTGAGAAAAGATGCGGCTGTTTTAAGAGTTCTGATAGGTGTTATGATCATACTCCAAAGTTTCAAAAGTTGAAACCTTTTCCAAATTGTTTCCAAAGTACTACACAGCCCTGTTCTGGAGTAAAGATGAACATGAGTGTCAATTGAGCAAGTCAGATTGCAAGAAAAGCCATTTCAGTTGGACCATTAAGCACATTGACCTTCCAGGGCAAACTGAACTCAAGACAGCTTGGTTAATCTTTGTTAGCTTTGTTATCAGCTCCCTGTCACTGCTGCCCCACTATGTGTATATGTGACCTAGTGTGTCTTCCATTCCCTACAGTCCACAATGAAGGTACCATAATAGATGGTTCATGAAAACCAGTAAGGAGAGTTTTGGACTGGATATTCCAGTTTAGAGTTGAAATGTACATGGTTGATTGAGCCATGAATCTAACCATTGATCAAAAGCTGGATCCCCACAACATGTTGAGCTTAGGTACCAAATTGCCCCATCGTCTGGTTTTGCACATCCATTGAATCATAAATTAACCTCTGATGCTTGGGTCATGCAATTCACTATGCCACAAGAAACACTCCAAGATTACAAGTAATTAAATTTGGCATGTTGTACAAATGTAACTGCTAATTCTATAACTGATCTGAATAAGTTGATTGCCTGTCTCAATGACATTAGTGGAAAACTAACTTCTCTCCTGTTCTCGCAGTGCAAAAATTAAATATGGTATCCAGTGCCAGAAGTTTGAATGGTCTTCATATAAAACTAATAAGTTAAGGAATTTAAAGTGACTATTACACTTTCAATGGGGGGGGGAGAAACAGCCTCCCCCCAGCTTAAATACAGTACTGTATTTAAGTCTACTGTCCTGAGTTTTCTGGAAGAAGGCAGGATACAAATGTGACATAATTGTAAGACAAACTTGTAAATTTAAGTAGGTATTATTGTTGTTCTACAACAACAACAACAACAATAATAAAATAATATCATTTCTAAAATATAATTTCTATTTGTATCTTTATCTTTCCTGTCATGAAACACTCAAGGCAGGTAATAGTAAAAACAAGAATAACTCTGTAAACCAAAATATAAAACCCAGTCAATGGCTAAAATTCTCTATTATTCCAGCTCAAGCTGGCTGAAGAGAGAGGTCTTTTCTTCTTTCCTAAATCAAGTTTTAGCTCCTCAACTCTGCCCCTGAGTGAACAGACAATAACTTCAGTGAAACTAAATCTTCCAGTGTCACAAAGCCACCTGCTTCTTTTGCCCCTCAGATGTTTCTGCACGTAGCGGAGAGCGTGGGCCGTCAGTACAAGCTGAAGCCTATTCAGGTAAGAAGCACCATCCTTTCTCTTCTTTCTTATCACATTTATGTTGTGTGTTTTTTTCCTCTTCCACTGTCACCAGTCCCACAGGACTGTTGCCTTGCCAGTTGATCAAAGAGGCCCTTTGTCCCTGAATTCCTCTTCGCAGCAAACGCCTCTTCCATCTCTGTTTTCTTCTGCCTGGTACTCGCATCTCTCTTTCCTTTTCTTTCATTGTGAATACCAATGAACTTTTTCACCCACTGCTATTTGTAAATGCGTTATTTATCTCTATAATGCATCCATTTTTCATCCCTAGGAAAGGGCAACGACCTCCAAATCATGCTTCTTATTTAAAAAAAAAAAATCCAAAATTGGATGGAGCAGGAATCCATGTCTCTCCCATCTTATTTATAAAATAGGGGCTGGCTGAGTAGGGTGACTTTTAATTTTCCCAAGCAGACAAGGAAATCCAGGCCTTTTCCCTTCCTTCCCTTACCTTGTGCTGTTGCTTTAAGAAAGTTTCTCTCTGCCTGGTTTGGATGCCAGAAGCAAATTAGGGTGTGAGAAAGTTCTTAGAGCAAAGTGAGGATAAGTGGGGTACCTTCATGATCCCCCCCCCCATCAGATGCAGGAATAGACAACCCCTGAGGTCCGTGTGGCTTCAAGCTCCATTTTATAGCAACAAGAAACTCTCTTCAGGATTATAATTTTTCCCAGTAGGTGCTGTGAGCCATTAAAAGCCCCAAACTCATATCTACCCAAAATGAGGGGAAAATCCCACCCAAAATATTGGTACTATTCCCTTTGGTGACAACACCATACCCACTGTGATCCTTGGAAGCCGAAAAAGGGGAGGGGGGACTAGAAAGAAACAAGAACCTAATGAGCAGTGTGAAGGTCAGGGGAGGCATTGTCTTATTTTCACTGTAACTATGATATGCTTTGGTAAATAATTAAAAATTAAAGAACAAAAAACAATCTTTAAAAGTAGAACTGGCCTCAGAGGGAGGTACTGTCGGGGATATACCTATGGGGAGATCTCACTGATGATTCTCTTCCTTCCTATTATCATTCTCCTGATTTCTTTGGGCCTATAAGTGAAGAGATGAAATTGTTTTGCTCCCCCTCAGTTCCACAGACGGGGGACAAAAGGAAGGGCAAGGGAATAAGCTGAGGGGCCTTGCAGAGAAAAAAAAGGAACTGATCAAGAAGAGGAAAGCCTTTAAAAGATATTTTGTCCAGGGCCTGAAAACCTGAGTAATGATTTCTTTAACAGGGAAAGAGACTAGTTCTGAATCAGTCTGCATTATTCACCTGTCGCCCTGTTTTAGCAGCACTGATGGACACGCCAGGTGTATCCCTTAGCAGAGGAAAGTGGTGAAGTTGCAAACACTTCCTGTGGCTCTTTGTAATGAGAGAATCAGTCCTATTCTTTTGCTGCCATATGTACAATTTAGTTTCTAGCTCACCTTTGGGAGGGCTTGGAGGTTGTCAACTCCCTCAAGTGGCAAGTGGCATTGGATGCTGCCATGCAGAGAGTGGGTTTGTTGCTTCCATGTATCCAGTGAGCTTATAGTGGGATCAGAAGGGGAGGGAGGAAAGGCAAATGCAGAGTCCTGGAACTTCTCTTACTTCTTTGTTGCAGCATCTTGATCTCTTGGTGCGTGACTGGGTCTACCCCGCAACCTATGGATTCCAGGGGGGACAGGATTACCTCCAAGAAATCCTCCAGGTAAACCTGTTGTAGAAATCATGAAAAAGATATCCTGAGTTGTTAATGAAGAGATTGTGTAGGAGTCCATCTTCACTCTCAAGTTCAGAGACAGAGGGGTTGTGGGGGGGTTTCAAAATGGTTGCATCTTGTCCCATTTATTTGTTCATTTAACCTCAGAGGCTGAAGGGTCAACCTAGCCGGCATCCACAAGTCCTGCAGACACTCAAAAGCACCAACAGTCGTTGTTATCTGATGCCCTACCCTGGCAAGAAGTTGGTGATGGGCACAGAAGGCACCATAGCAGGCAAGAACCTCTCTCTTTCCATCACACCTTCTTCATGTTCCTCCCACAGTCTATACAACCTGTATCTGCATGAACTTTAGGGACAAATAGACACAATTACTCCATTCTATCAGAAGGAGGAGCATTAATACCACAAATTCTCTCTGATCAGTGGTGGAGTGTAAAAACAATTAGACCAATTAATTTCCTGGAATGAAATGGGGAATCTTTGTTTCCTTAATTGGAGCTGAGGTGGGAGG